GGAAGATTATCATCTGGCCGTCATGGATCACTGCTACGACATTTTAGTTTTGACCGAAACATGGCTCAATTATCGAACCATTTCAAACTATGTCTTTGGTGCTGGCTACGAAATATTTCGCTGCGATCATAACACGAATAATAGTAGGAAAACTACTGGGGGAGGCGTCCTTATCGCAGTTAATTCCAAGCTGAAAGCAGAAGTTATCGAGGACGATTCAACTTGGTGATCGTCAATTGCTTCTCTGTGCAGTGTACATTCCTCCAGATCGAACCCGTGACTTGGAGCTTATTGACGCACATTGTCGATCCGTCTTGGCCGCTTCAGACAAAGCAGGCCCTTCCGACGAAGTTATTGTTCTTGGCGATTTTAACCTACCGGACATTGCATGGACTCCAACCCATAGTGGTTTCTTTTGTCCTGATCACGAGCGTTCATCTTTCCACGTAGGAACCATCCAGCTCCTGGACAGTTATAGTACCGCAATTCTGTCACAAATCAATGGCCTGTTGAATGAAAACAACCGCACCCTGGATCTCTGCTTTGTGAGTGCTCGTGATACAGCTCCTTTCCTCTCCACGGCACCCGAACCTTTAGTCAAGGTAGTGCATCATCACCCTGCTTTAGTTATCGTGATCGAAAATAATATTGTCCATGATTTCACCAGCACTCCAAACGCTGTGTCATATGACTTCCGTAGAGCTGACCATTGCAGTATCGTCCATGTGCTGTCTAATCTAGATTGGGAGCATATTCTAGATCATGTAGACGTCAACATTGCTGCACAAACCTTTTCTCACGTCTTGGCATATGTCATTGACAGACACGTTTCCAAAAAGATCATCCATATCGACTCTCGCGTCCCGTGGATGACGAAAGATCTTCGCTCGTTGAAAAGAACTAAGAAGGCTGCTCTCAGAAGATTTACTAAACTCCGCACACTGCCACTGAAATGCTACTATGTCAGACTCAACCACGAGTATAAGCGGTTAAGTCGTCTCTGTTTTCAACGCTATCAAAGGAGGATTCAACGGCGGCTAAAATCACACCCGAAATCCTTCTGGAACTTCGTAAATGAGCAACGCAGGGAAGTCGGCTTACCCTCTTCCATGATTTTTAATGGTGAAACTGCTGGAAATCAACAAGACATTTGCAACCTGTTCTCAGCCAAATTTGCTAGTGTGTTTGAAGCCGAGCAACTCTCCGCTAATATCATTACTTCCGCGGCCAGTAATGTTCCTTTGGTCAACCAAACGCTCAGCATGGTCGAAGCCACTACAGATACGATTTCTAGAGCAGCATCTAAACTTAAGACTTCAACTAAGGCTGGACCCGATGGTGTTCCGTCGATTATTCTTAAAAAGAACATCACTTGTCTTTTAGATCCACTGCGCCGCATATTCCAGCTCTCTCTTTCCAGCGGCATCTTTCCGTCTTGCTGGAAGACTGCGGATATGTTTCCTGTTCATAAAAAGGGAAGCAAACGCGACGTAAACAACTACCGAGGAATCACGTCGCTGAGTGCTGTATCAAAACTTTTTGAATTGGTTGTCATAGAGTCCCTAAATGCGCATTGCAGGCAATATCTAACTACAGATCAACACGGATTCATAACTGGGCGTTCCACAACTACGAACCTGCTGTGCCTAACGTCTTACATCACAGACAGTTTGATTGCTCGGACCCAAACGGACGTTATCTACACAGATCTTACGGCAGCCTTCGATAAGCTGAACCACGAAATTGCGATCGCTAAGCTTGATAGGCTAGGGATCGGTGGAAATCTTTTGAGATGGTTTCGTTCATACCTCACGGAGCGCCAATTGACAGTAACTTTGGGTACTTGTCGCTCAGCAAGCTTCTGCGCAAAGTCCGGTATACCTCAGGGCAGCCATCTGGGACCATTGGTATTTCTCCTCTACTTCGACGACGTTCACCATGTTATCACAGAGCCACGATTATCGTTTGCAGACGATCTCAAAGTTTTTCTGCGCATCCGCTCACTCGCCGACTGCCGTTCTCTCCAAAATCAGATTGACATCTTTGCTGACTGGTGTAGTCTAAACCGACTGGTGGTCAACCCAGCTAAGTGTACAGTTATTACTTTCTCACGCAAGAAACAACCGATTATTTTCAACTACAAACTACTAGGCACGACTATCGAACGGGTGCACTGCGTGAAAGACTTAGGCGTTTTTCTAGACTCAAAGCTGACATACTCACACCATATATCGTATGTCGTCGACAAAGCGTCCAGAACGCTTGGCTTTGTCTTCAAGATTACTAAGAACTTCACGGACATTTACTGCTTGAAATCGCTCTATTGCTCTCTCGTACGATCTACGCTGGAATACTGCTCTGCTGTCTGGAGCCAAAACTACAATAATGGGGCCGAGCGGATTGAATCTGTTCAACGACGTTTTCTTCGCTTCGCGCTCCCTAAGCTGCCTTGGAGATACCCACTTCGTCTTCCAAGCTACGAGAATCGCTGCCAATTGATCAATATCGAGCCCTTACGTATCCGAAGCAGGGCTGAAAAAATCACTTAAATTCATCAAAGTTCACTATGGATGAAAAATTCATTTCATAGTGAATGCTGGTGATTTTTTCATGATTTTTTCAACCCTGATCCGAAGAGATGTTTTCAGAGCCTTAACCGTCGCCGATACTCTGCAAGGAAGAATCGACTGCGAAGCAATTCTGCAACAAGTGAACATTAATGTTCAACCTCGATCACTACGCAACAGTCTTATGCTGAGACTTCCACTTCTTCGAACTAATTATAGCATAGGGAGCGCTTTTTACGGCTTGCAGCTAGTGTTCAACCGAGTAGCGTCGATGTTCGATTTCCACTTGACACGGAATATGCTTCGCCGAAGATTCTCTGCCTTTTTTGCTGACCGAAGGCGCTTGATACCCAACAGCTAAGTGTAAAATTTAAGACTTATAAATTTTTAGTTACTTGACAATGCTTTCCAAGTTATTTTCGTTTGTAACTGTAGTAACTGTAGTATATGTATGTCGTCTGTATAATCTGTACTTTTTTTATAACACATCATTGGGACTATTTCTAGTCTGTTGATGCAACCATAACAAATAAACAAATAAACAAATAAACAAATAAACCTAGTTATCTTTATCGGGAGGGACTCGATACAGCTGTGCAGTGTCGCAATAATGGAGGTTTATTTGAGTTACCTCTGTTATTGTTTTGCGACAAAACAATTAAGTGTCATTTGGAGCGAAAGGCTTGAGAATGCATGCTTAAAAATCAAAAAGTTCAGTCTGCACGGCGAATGAGAACGACTCAAATTTGAGTTTAGTTCACTCATAATCGCCAAAAGTGCAGGAACTCAGCGATGAGTTAATTTGCCTCATGTTTTCCCAGGTTTTTCCAGGATTTTCCAGGGAAAAATTCCCGAATTTGAGAAAAGTAAAGATTGGATTCACTCAGTCTATTGGTACTACTCCGAGACTGAATAAAATTTTCGTCAATTTCCTCATTTTTCGGCAGATTTCAAGACCAACAATTGAAAAGGCCTCAACTCCATTTTGTAAACAAACCTTGTAAGGCCATTTTCTAGCAAACCGAAGTCCGCAAAGGCAAACCAACATAATGAACAGGTAGGGGAAATTCTCCTCTACCCGATTGTGGTTTAGGTTTGCGAATGTAGATTTCGGTTTGTGAGAAAATGGCCTTACAAGGTTTGTTTACAAAATAGAGTTGAGGCCATTTCAATTGATGGTCTTGATTTTTTAAATTTCCACAGGAAACCATGGGACAAATTTTACTCATCGCTGAGTTCCTGCACTTTTGGCGATTATGAGTGAACTAAACTCAAATTTGAGTCGTTCTCATTCGCCGTGTGACAAAATCGGGAAAGCACAGTATTTCATTTAATGAAAAATATGGCAGGACAGGATTAGAAGGATGTTCCTGGTTTTACTACAATGAGGCCTGGATATTTTTGAAATAAGGGAAAAAACTCAGTTTCCGGTCCAAGAGCACTCCAACTCCGAGCATTATGATCGTCTTTCCGAAACGGTATGGCGGTGCCACATAATGGTTAATTGTAAAGGACGGTGTGAGGATCGGCAGATGTTGGTCATGAGTTGGTTCGATGGTCATATTTAAAGTTGAGCTTTGCGTATTTCCCAACCATACATTCGTGATGCAAAAAGAAATTCAACCTGAGGTTGTTGCATCATAGAGAACCAAGCACCACGTGCGACCCGCGGGAGGCATCGTGATCACTAGACTACGTCGTCAGCATTTACGAATATGCAGATCTCCTTTGGCAAGGCTCCGAAAATTCCGTTAATCGCGACCAGAATAAGAATGACCGCCCCTGTTTCTACCGCTCGGATTGAGGAATGGAAATTTACAATTGGGACCTGAAAGGACCGTAAAGTTTAGTAGACTTGCCTGTCGACCGCTCATTTCGAAGGTTATCTAGATTTTTCCTGAATTGATGCCTTGGGATCGTTCGGACGTGTACAAACGATTTTTTGGTGTTTAGCATTGGGATCTATTAAGTCCTACCTCACCTGGGTTCGCTCGTATAAAGCAGGAAGCCATACGATCTTTCTTCTGAATTTATCCTCGGCTTTGACCTGTACCCTATGGTTTTTGGATGATTCAACTTTTAGAGAACATCCTTTTGAAAATCGTGTATCCAGGCAGCTGATTGATTTGCTACCGGAAAATAAGAAACTACTCAATGTTTCAGGCATAGTTCTGCTTAATACTGTCAATTTGAACAATATATTTTAACAATTGAAGCATGTTGCCAAAAACGGGAATAAGACCTAAATAGATTCGAATGCTTTGAAAGATCTTTCTGGCCCTCTATGGTTCTAGATTTGGCAAGCAAAATAAATCGTTATAATTTATCGTGATAATTTATCCTCAAAAAAATCCCGATTCTACCGACCAATATACAGTCGGGAACGTACCTACTGCAATACAGAGTGTAGACAAGCAAATTGAGAGATCTTACCTCCAGTTTTCTCCATTTCTTCCTGCTGTGTGTGCGTTGTTTTCGCTCGTTTCCTTCGCCAAATGAACGATCTATCTGTTTGCGGGTTGCTGGCTGCTGCTGCTGCTACTCTCTTCTTTCTCCACACGGCGAAGGTGATCGCAATGTTTCTTTTATATTTGCCTCACTTGGAAAACGACAGAAACTTCACCACCAACAACAACAACGGGGCGATTGACTTCGTCGTCGTGGTGGAATTCTTGTTTTCTTCTTTGTGTGTCAATGGCATGCACAGAAACAGCAACAGCAACAACAACAAACGGTTGGTTGGATTGACTGACTCGGGCTCAGTGGAGTCGGGCTGAGGGAACTCGATCGAAGCCGTGTCCGACTCTGTCCGTAAGCCACACGACGACGACGGCGAGGGTGAATTAATTCCGTGTGTGCGCTGCCCCTTTTTTCACCAGCTCTCGCTCACTATTACTCTTGTTAGGATCACACGTCGAATTTATCACATTTATTTTTACATTTTCGAATCTTTTATCATCTTCTCTCCGCACTGTACACTCGTACTTGTGCTCTCTTCCTTTCTTCTTGGCTCGAGTCGGTCTCTCTTCGCTTCTTCCCGTCGCTTCACGCTTCACTGTCACTGGAAAGGCCGGACGGCGGACCGATCCGGAGCAATCACCAGCCAACCACTACTGTGCTTCTTTTCGTCGTTCGTGCGGTGGCCAGAGAATTCCTATGTGTACACCTTGAAAAACATAGAATTTCCTCACACTGGAAACCAGAAACACAAAAGCATGATTAAACACAATAACACCACTGCTTATAAGCGAATGCAAATTTTATGCAAAAGAACACCGAGGGCTCCGATGGTGGTTTAACAATATTATTATCCAAAATGGTAATCAAAATGTAATTCAAAAATTTCTCTTCTCGCGCACTCGCGAGACACGACACTGACTGACTCTGGTTGTGGGGTTGATGTGTCATCGAAACTACACACAGCCAAAAAAAAAACAAACACGGGTGGCAGCTACTGGCCTGCCCACTACTGCGAGATTGCGATTGAAGAACACTTCCTGTGTACAAAAACGAAAAGAACTGGTTGACTACTCTCCAGTCCGGGCCGTTTTGGATATGACACCTTTCTCTCCGTCCTCCTGAACAGTGCCTGGCTACACTGACTGACCCTATAACAGACTACAACCGACGACGAATGAATCCGGTATGAATGGTACAAAGCTCGAGGAGAGTATAGTTTACTACAAACCGCACACGGCACGACGACGGCACACAACACCACCACTACCACTGACTGCCAGCCAGCAAGAAAATCACAAATGGGACGCTTTTGCCATCAGCGAACGACGAAGGGGACACAAACAACAAACTGCGGCGGCGGCGGAAAAAGAAGATTGCAATGATTCACTGCGGCGCGGTGAATGTTGTTTTGGTGGTGTTGTTGATGACTGTGATGATTGATCGGCGACCGATGATGACAGATACACCCGCAAATATATATAGGGTGATTAAGGGCCGGTTGGAGGAGCGAGAAAACGATAGAGCTGTCATCGTTTGTTTACCGTACGGGGACCGTTCAAGTGATTATTTTGATTATTCTTGACTTTTGGAACAAGTTTCACGCCAAATGAGGGATCGGGAAAAGGTCGACCTTCTCAGATTTGCATGAAACTTTGCATAATTGTTTGTTATGGGCAATGATATACATTTTAGCTTTAATTCGGCCGTTTTAGATGGAGTAAAGCGTTCGAAATTTCGTCTATGCAATTTTTCAAAAAAATGTAGCACGGAAACGGCACTTCCGATCAAAATGACGTCTGAGACTAATTTGTAGAGAACAATATTGTTTTTTTGAGAAACATATAGGGGAATTTACGTATTCTCGGCAACCTAAGCAGCGACCTTCTTTCTATAGCCTTTTTCTCTAAGGAACGCACACATATGCAGTATTGGTTTGTTTACAATCTATTGCTGCCAGCTGCTCTAACAATTTCAGTCGAAAGAATTGTCAAAAACTGTTTTGAAACGCTTTTACAAAGCTCCAATCTTCTCTAGTGAGAGCGAGTATTGTCGGCAACCCGTTTTTCTTCGGCAACCGTTCCATTTGAACTGCATGTAAATCTGCTGTTCTATCGAAATCAGCTACAATTTGCAGTGCGTGTGTTGCATTTCAAGAAAACCTTGCTAGATTGCTTTTTCTCAGTGGTAAAAATATAGTCAAATTGAAGCTGAAAGCATAAAGAATCGTTTGCATGCATTCAGCGAAGTGTTTTCGTAAGAAAATCCAGTGAAAATAGTGTTTCAATTTGGGTTGCCGAAAATAGTCTGTCATGCCGAAGCCGTCATTTCCCCTACATAATTGTATTCCAAGATCTACTCTCGAAAAAAGTAGGTGAAATATTCATGTTTCAATAGTGAAGTTCTGCGCGTGTACTCAATATACTGAGGCAATTAAACTTAAGAATTTCATAAGGCACGACCTTAGGCACGACTTACGAATTCCATAGGCGTAACTTTTGAATGACGATCGGATCGACTCACCAGGGTGGTCCAGGGGGTAAGTCACTCTGCCACATTGTGTCTGTGCTCATTGTGGTTTATGTGTGTGTTTTGGGTGTCGGAAGGTGTTTCTGGGTGTTTCTTTGTGTCGACCGAGCTGTCAAAACATCAACCGAAAAAATATGCTTACTGGCAACCGTATCCTTAACCATAACAAAACGCTGAAAATGACGGATCCACCAGCGACTATAGATACTATAGATTCCATAGATAAGCGGAGGCACAAAAAGTTGTTTTGGCAACCTTGAAAAATAAATGATCTTACTGGCATCCATGAAAAAAGTTCATGCCATCATAGAGCTCTTCGTTGTGCAGTTTTGTTTTGTTTCGTGCGTACAAGTTCAAAATGAAGTTCAAAGCAAATCTTTGCAATAATGTATCGAGGAATGGTTTGCTTTATCTTTCCTTATTCGGTTGTCCGCGAAATAAATCGGAATGTGGAGTGTGGAAAGCGTTTTGTGCTCATAATATTACAATACTTCTCCCTCAAACAACACCATGATGAAGTCATGCTCGTTTGGCTACACTAACTGACAGTTCGTTTGGCTACATTATACTTTTCCTCCGCTTATCTATGGAATCTATACCAGCGACTCATTCGCTGTTGTTTGCTTAATGCAACAAAGTACATCTGATTCACTACCGAAGATATTCAAGAAAAATGTGGAAGGCGATTTAAAACAGCTAGTTCAATTGCAAAATTCAGCTCTAAATGGCGACATAGCATAAACGGAACACTGCACTACCATTAACAACTACAAGAAGCACGACCACAGAGGCGAGCTGGACTGAACCCGGTAGTGATCTAGAATTCTAAGCACCTTACCACAGACAAACAGACGTAAATCTTCGTTCTGTATCTTCGTTCACCCATTTAACGGTTGATTTGAATATTATCAGTTCCGCGAACTACTCGCCGCAGCTCTGGCATTGGATCACTTTGACGTTTCTATACATTCTATAAAACTTTTACGCAATTTTGTTGCGAGATAGCGAGCAAGCTTGGTATCCGCGAGAAGCCCGAGAGATGTCGTTACTGAGGTCCTATGTTTTGAGATACTATGTTTTCAAGAAAAAACTTCTTCAAAGAGTTACGTCTGTGACCTTACTGTACCCAAGGCGAACCAGCCAATGCACTATGGGCAAAAATGGGTCCAAAATTACCCAAAATTCAATATCTCATTCATGGCTAAATTCCGGCCATGAAAAACAACTTTTCCGAATATCTCAACAGCACGCTGAATTCCGGCCATGAAAAACAACTTTTCCGAAGGGAAATCGTCCGAGGAATCGATTGCACGTAGTCCCATAGACCGGAGAGCCTTGTAGGTATGTGTGTTGGGCCATTTTACCCCATTTTCCCCTACTTTTTGTAGGAAATGTTTTTTCACAGCTCTATTTTTCATAAAACATAAGCACTTTATGCATGGTTTTAGAATACTATGTCTTTAAACAACAGTTCATGAGATATTAGGGGAATACGGGGTACACTTTATAGGGGGGTAAGGGGTAAAAGTGAAAACACAATCAATGTTTTTTAATACAAAACCCATATTTTCAATATCATAATATTTTTTCTGAAGAATACTTTTAATTAACTTTCATTTGGTATTTTGAGTCATAAATTTTTGAAAAAAATAAAAAATACGTGTCTAATATGTTGCGATAAGGAACAAAACTACGAATTTTTACAAAATTCTGAGAACCACTATATCGTTTTGCCGTATACAGACAAAAAAAGTGAAAACTCTTTTAAAACAGATAGCAGTAAATTAAAACTTATTTAACCCCAATTAACCTTAAAATTTCGAAAAAAAAATCTTATTATTGCAGGCAACCTTTGGGGTCATTCAAACAATCGCATCGTTCAACATTTTTATGAATTAAAATAAATTTAGCGAGCGTTCACTTTTACCCCTTACTCCCCTATAAAGTGTACCCCGTATTCCCCTAATATCTCATGAACTGTTTTTAAAGACAGAGTATTCTAAAACCACAGACAAACAGACGTAACTCTTTGAAAACCTTGTTCTTGAAAACATAGTATCTCAAAACATATAACCTCAGTAACGACATCTATCTGGCTTCTCGCGGAAAACAAGCTTGCTCGCTAACTCGTAAACAATATTGCATAAAAGTTCTATAGAATATATAGAAACGTCAAAGTGATCCGATGCCAGCGCTGCGGCGAGTAGTTCGCGGAACTGATAATATTCAAATCAACCGTTAAATGCATGAACGAAGATACACAATGAAGAGTTACGTCTGTTTGTCTGTGCTAAAACCATGCATAAAGTGCTTATGTTTTACGAAAAATAGAGCTGTGAAAAAACATTTCCTCCAAAAAGTAGGGGAAAATGGGGTAAAATGGTCCAAACACACATACCTAAAAGGCTCTCCGGTCTATAGGACTACGTGCAATCGATTTCCCGAACGATTTTCCTTCGGAAAAGTTGTTTTTCATGGCCGAAATTCAGCGTGCTGTTGAGATATTGAATTTTGGGTAATTTTGGACCCATTTTTGCCCATAGTGCAATGGCTGAAAGCCTTGTAAATAAAGAAAAAAAAACCTTACTGTTACTGTGACACTCCCAACCTACCAAAATAAATTCATCGGAGCATTCTGACGGATCTAGACAGGCTTTTCCACTTTTTGAAATTGTAATTTATTTCAAGATCCACATGTGAAAAGGGCATACAAGCTTTTTGTGAACAAACCTTTGTAGACCCTTTTCTCGCCAACCAATGGTCGCCCACGTAAACCAACAACATCATCGGGAAGGGGAAAGTTTCCCCTACCGGGTTATGTTGATGGTTTGCGTGGGTGGCATATGGGTAGCGAGAAAAGGGCATAAGAAGGATTGTTTACAAAAAGCTTGTATGCCCTTTTCACATGTTGTTCTTGATTTAGTCAAACGTAATCCTGGTGGAGACGTTCCAGAGCTTAACATTATTGACTGCCTAGGCTGAGTGTGAATGCACTGCACTATTCAATCCATTGCTCTGTGCAGACCGTTTGTACCAAACAATAAAGGACGAGGCGATGAAAGAGCCAACAAAAACATTCAGTCACTCACGAGCAGGCGACGCACACCGCTTGCCTTCGCTCACACAGCATGTAATTGAGTCATTTTTCCATAGAAAATGTGCGCTCAGTCATTCAAAACAAATATTGGGTACCATCACGGCAGAAT